ACATAAAAAAAAGGAGAATTATTTCATGTATTTAATGATTTTTTTCTTATCTCTTTGTCTCTCCCAGTGAAACAGGAGCATCGGAAAGCCCGCCCAATGGAAAACGCCCCTCCCCCTCCCCGACAAAGCCTTCAGAGTCGGGTGAAGGTAACGAACGCAAATGTGGACGAGTTTGCTGAAACGTCAGCGAGCTTCTCGTCACTCACTCTGTCTGCATGCTTTCATACAGAATACGTGGCCATGTACACCTACGAGAGCAATGAACAGGGGGACCTGAGTTTCCAGCAAGGGGACATCGTCGTGGTGACGAGGAAAGAAGGCGATTGGTGGACGGGGATGGTCGGAGGAAAGACCGGAGTCTTTCCATCCAACTACGTCAAACCACGGGACTCCACGTCAGAGGTGAGAGCTCATTTTGAACAAATTAGGGGAAGAATAGAAGATCTTCAGGTAAATATTTCTAATCACTGTGACTCTGAATCTTTGCCCACAGTCACTGGGAACAGCAGGGAAGACGGGAAGCCTTGGGAAGAAACCAGGTAGGCCTGTAATGTTACCAAAATGCACTTTTCCTGTTTTCCTCTGAATACCAAACTGATTTTCCTTAATTAAAGTGTCAAACTGAGCAGTAAATATCTTAATTCACTCTTCGTTGTCCTTGTTGTGCCAGTCGAAGTTAAAGCCATGTGGAAGAGAACTTGTCTGATTTAAACCTTCAAAATAAAACTCACATAGACCAGGTGTCAGAGACTAAAAGAAGAAAAAAATAAAACCCCTCATCATCTTCTTCCTGTTCCTGCTCAGAGATCGCTCAGGTGATCGCCCCCTACAATGCTACAGGAGCAGAGCAGCTGACTTTAGCCCCAGGACAGCTCATCCTCATCAGGAAGAAGAACCCAGGGGGCTGGTGGGAGGGCGAGCTCCAGGTACACAAGACACAACCGTCACTTAATCTCTGCCTGACACAGTAATGAGGTAGAGAAGGATAGGTATGATGGGAAACGCTGACATGGATTAAGTGAGACACAAATATTCACCAGATAACTTTTTAATCTGTATCATTTTATTTACAGAACAAAGCTAAATTAATTACCTGCTGTATTTTGTCATTATGTACATAATTTGTTTTACATATTGGTTTGTGACTGATGGCATCCTTTGATTTTATTGGTCCAGGCTCGAGGGAAAAAGCGCCAGATTGGTTGGTTTCCAGCCAATTATGTGAAGTTGCTGAGTCCCAGCACCAGCAAGACGACGCCCACAGAGCCCACACCTCCTAAACTGGCCCCTGCCAGCACAGGTACATCCACACTTTACCACAACACCTACAGAGGCCCTTCAGTCCATTGTGAAACGTGCTGAAGAAGAAGAGGTGCACCTTTTTTAACCCTTTAAA